CGGCGACTATGCATGGGTTGCTGAATTATGCTGGTGGCTTTGTGGTTGGACGTTGTTTGAAGCCTGCCGCCAGACAGTTTGCAAGTTTGCAGTCAGGTTCATCAGATACAGAGCTCATATCGCGCTTGTGCAATGATACATGCAGGATCATTAATCGAATGCGACCACGAGAAATTCGCTTCCTGAGCAGCGATCGTCCGGCAGTGATTTACACGGACAGTGCGTACGAGAATGGGAATGGAACCTGGGGTGCAGTTGTCATAATCCCTCAACTTGGCATTAATGCAATTCACTGGGGAACCATCCCACCAGTCCTGATGGAGCACTGGACATCTATTGGACTTCAGCAGAAAATTTGTCAAATTGAGTTGGTTGCAGTTTTGTTTGTGAGGTATTTTTACCACAATGAACTTTGCAATTCTTCAGCACTGTACTTCGTTGACAACGAGGCTGCACGTTTTTGCTTGATCAAAGGATCCAGCCCTTCACTGTCCATGTACGACATCTGTCGTGCAGTGTCCTTAGTAGAAGCAGAATTTCCTTCCGCTTCATGGTATGAAAGGGTGGCTTCGGAATCAAACATTGCTGACCTGCCGTCACGCTCCAAAGTGAAAGAATGCCAGGCAATCTCGGGAGGAAACCTTGCAGGCGATATATGCTTGCCTGAAACAATGCTCTTGGAAGTTACAAGAAAGTGAAGCTCTTTACATGTCGGAAAAAAAACGGGGGTGACAGGCGACATGACTTGTTGACCTGAAACAGTTACCAGACACTTGACTTGTGTTTGTGCGGTTTCACCCCCGACTCAATTAAGATAAGCAAAGACAAAAAGAAATATTAAATACATGTCCGACCTTCGAGCGATTTGCGTGGCGTTTTGAGTTTTACGTTTGTTTGAATAAGAAATTCAATTTACAAAGGGACGAGCACAAACATACCAAGTATCCAAGCGCTGACATTGACAAGTAAGAAATGCCATGTTAAATTCTTGTTAGGACTTTGTCCTGTCGACCCTCGGACCATGGCCACAGAAAGCAGTGCAGCGTTCAGGTCGAGAGCACTGGACCTTGGCTTAGCTGAAGATAGGTTTGAGTTGCTAGTTGGGGCTGGAGTTCGCAACTTCGGGCAATACGCCTTTATATGTCAGTATCAACCTGGCAGTTCAGACGAGGGCCCACTGTTGAAAGTTTTGTCAGAGATCTACACCACAGATGTCAATGGAGGTGAGTTGACAGTTGGAGAAAGATCGATCCTCAGGAGACTCTACTTTGAGAGCCACACAACTGCAGTTCAGGAGATGCGCATCCGACTAGAACGTCAGCCTGATGACACACCGAAAGCCATTCCGATGGCCGAGCGCATTGAGCGACTCAACGCCTTCAAGGAGAGCCATTGCCATTTAGTTTTGGATTATTCGTCAGAGCCATCACACAAATTGGTCGTTTTGGTTTGTCAGCAGGCAGAATCGCAGGTAGTATCATACATAGAGCTCAGCTTGTGCACCAGCCGTGAAACAGAGATCACCCACCGAAAGAAAGAAACTCAGGTCTCCATAGACAACTCTGGATTGATCAAGCTCACAAAGCAGGACCGTGAAGTAAAGACTGAGGTGACAGGTGACTTGAAAGTGCGCCAATGCATGCAGAGGCGAGTAGTGGCCTACCACCTGGCCAATATAGCCACCTATAAGACATTGGAAAAATTTACGGCCAAACTGTTCCACTATCTGACCAAGGAGCCTGTGGCCAGCCATCGTCCAATCAGTTTGCAGCAAAACATCCAAGCTGATCGTGAGCTTTGGATACAGGTGTCTCAGACGACCCGTGGAAAGATCCTGACATCAAATCCCAAACCGATTGACGAAGCTGTTGCCAAACTCTCCGAGTCTACAGAGGTCCTGTATCATCTGATGCCATTGCCGCAGGGCAGTCAGCCTAGGGCTGCCGACAAGCCGAAGGCCGACAGATCCCGCAGTCCCAGGCGCCCTAAGGGCAAGGGCAACAAGAACAAAGGAAAGGGAGGTGGCAAAGGCACTAAACCGGATTTACCGGCCAATTGTGTCTTCAAAGATGATCAGGGCAGGAACATATGTTTTGCATATCAATGGGGCAAGTGCCAACATCCTGGGCCTCGATGCAGTCGTGGCATGCACCTGTGTTGGACGTCAAAGTGCCATGGATCGCATCCGTATACATCTTGCCCCAGTAAGAAGCAGTGACTAGGCATTGTGCCTGAACAGCCCGAAGCCATTTTGGTAGGTCCAATTTTGCAGTTTTTGCAGGGAAGTTCATCTTGTACAGCGATTGACTTTTCCATGCCAGCATCCGAGCTCATTTTTCTCGAAGTTTTTGCCGGGAGGGCCACCTTGACGGCCGAAGTGCGTAAGTCCCTTCACCTGCAGTGTATAGCCATAGATCATAAGGTCAAACAGCCGAGAGCTAAGATCACGGTCCTAGACCTCACTCGTGCATCCGACCAGGAAATTTTCTTTAATTTGTGCATGCATGCCAATGTTGCCGCAGCGCATTTTGCGCCAGTCTGTGGAACTGCCAGTAAAGCTCGTGAGCGACCTATGCCACCGGGCTACAAGGGAAAGCCGCTCGCCCCGTTGAGGTCTTATGACCAACTTCTGGGGCTGGATTCCTTAGCAGGCCAAGATCGAGACAGGGTCCATGCGGCCAACATCCTTTATGCAGTCACTGTTGTAGCAGCAATCCTCTTGATTTCTCGAAACACCATTGTGTCCATTGAAAACCCCAAAAATAGCTACTTTTGGGTGATCGCCTGCCTCATTGCAGCCCTCTTGGAAAATGGCAAATTGTGGACTAATCTTGAAGATGTCAACTTTGCAAACTGCATGTTTGGATCGAAACGCAAAAAGCACACAACATGGAAGTCTACCCCTGCAGTCTTCCATGCCATGAACAAAGAATGTGACAGTTCGCACGTGCATGAATCTTGGACCCCGCACATCGGGCCAAATGGTCAAGTCTTAAAGATGCCAACTGCAGAGGAAGCAGCCTATACGCCTGAGCTTGCAAAAGCTGTTGCAACTTGCCTGGGGCCAGCATTGTTAGATCGAGGTGTCATGTTCCCAACAGACCTCAGTGCAGCCGCCAACCCACGCAAAGTTGTCAGGGCCGAACAATTCAGGCTGCCCCAGTTAATCTCTGAGTTCTTTGCCATCACCGACTTTCCGGTGCCAACGTGCGACTCCAAACAGATGCCAATTGTCTTGGAACAAGGGGGTGATTTGAAACCTGACCAGGTACACTGGGAACTAGAAAGCTTGCAGCAACAACCCCATACAATGAGAGCTTTCAAAAATAAGCCTGAGCCAGGCGAAATGGTCTTTGGTCTTTTTAGGTCCCCCAAAAACTTTGTAGTGTGCGCCGAAAGCCTGATGCACCCGATTGATTTCTCGTGCCCATTGCCTGATGAGCTTGTACTGACGCTATCTCAAGTCCTCCAGCTGGGCCCAGCTGGACTGATTGCGCATAGAGCTGAAAGAGCCAAGGAGTTGCTGTGCTTGGTCAAATCAATGGAAGCTGACAACTCAGCTTACTTGAATGCTTTGCCAGCTACCCCAAAGAAGATCCTTCGGAATAAAAGGATGGCCCTCTGGAAACACCTATCCCTTAAGTTTGACTGCCCAGATGCGGGGATAGTAGATGAAATAGCCCAGGGTTGTCCATTAACTGGCATAGGTGCACACTCAAGCTTGTTCCCTGCTGGTTTCCAGCCGGCCCAGAAGCCAGCCGACCAACTGAAGAAGCAGCACTTTTGGTTGAGGCATCAGGTGGTAGGCCGTTGCCGCTCATCAGGGGACCCTGCCGTAGACCAAGAGTGCTGGGAGCAAACGCTGTCTGAAGTCACAGATGGCTGGATGGAAGGCCCCTTTGATGACGAAGAGGCAGTAACCGCACACATCGGATCCTCAGATTGGTTGTGCAGCAGGAGGTTCCCGCTGGTCCAAGGGGAAAAGGTCCGATTGATAGATGATGCCAAAGAGAGCCAGCTCAACACGGCGTACTATGCCACCAACAAGTTGGTCCTTCAAGATGTTGATTGTTTGGTGTCATTGATCATGCAGATGTGCAGATGCTTTGTTCGACGTGGCGAGTTTGCCATGAGGCTGAGTGATGGCTCCACAGTTTCTGGCCGAGTGGCCTCTGATTGGGGATCAGAAGTGGGCTTCCTTGGTAGGACCCTAGACTTGTCATCAGCATATAAGCAACTGCCCACTAGTGATCTTGAGCCCTGGTCTCGCATCATTGTAGTTCACTGCCCTATCGAAAATAAGCCCAAATTCTTTGTCAGCCTGGTGCTCCCCTTTGGTTGTACAGCCTCCGTGTACTTCTTCAACCGGGCATCCACAAATTTGTGGTGGTTATTCCAGAAAATGTTTATGGTAATAGGTACCACCTACTATGATGACTACCCGACAGTTGAGCCAGAGCAGACTGCAGCCTCAGCACGCACTTGCCAGGAGCTTCTCTTGACTAGCCTGGGATGGAAGTTTGCCAAAGAGGGGAAAAAGGCATTGGAGTTTGCGTCCTCCTTTGACGTGCTTGGCATAAGCCTGGATTTGTCCTACTGCAGCCGTGGCAGCTTTGCACTAAATAATAAGGCTAGTCGGATTGAAAAGATCCTCACCCAAGTGGATGCCTTTGTGACTAAGGGTTGCCTTACCCAAGCTGAAGCAGCCCAGGTTCATGGGATTCTGCGGGGGCAGGGAGGTTCACCAATCCAACCACTAGCCAAAGTCCCCCAAATGGGATCACAAAGGAAAAAGACAATGAAATAGGGTGGACGAAGTGGCCAAACGATATGGCACAAGTCGGATGTCCCTGATCCCCTAGATCAGGCTGCAACGCGGGCTCGAAACTGTTTTGCCGGGGCTCAAGCGCTGCAGTGCAGCTGCATGTGAAAAGTGTCATGACATGACCTACATGAGACAACCCTATGCCACATTCGCACCAGCCAAAGATTTCCTTGGCTCAAAAGGTCATGGCATATGTTATGGGTTGCAAGGCTTGGAGATCTCTCATCTGCTGAAGTGCTCCACGTCCTTGTTGTTTCGCCTTCTTCTCGCTGGTGACAAACTTCGGGTCATAGTGAAGTCGCCAGACAAAGTTGCGAAGAAACTGCAACAAGCTCTGTCGGGCCACCTGAGGCTTCTTCGTCAAAGCATCGCTCAGGTTCCAATCACCAGCAAGCCAAATGAGCTTTGCTCCACCATGGTCAAGTTGTTCACGAAGTTGGTAAGCCTGCAGAGCACTGCGGGCATTCGTGAGACCAAGCATCGGTCCCTCAGATCGAGTGACAGCATCAAAGCCACCCTTGCTATCTGTTCCAACGATGCCATAGATGGTCTTGACCATGTTGTTGGCGCTGTTGAGGACATCATCACCAATGGGTGCACCATGCGTTGAGTTGGCACCACATGAATCTCGTTCTAAAGTTTGCGTCCTCACCCTCCAACATAGACTGAACTTCAGCATCATTTGTGCTGATGGCTTTGCGCTCCAGCTTCCAAGTTCTCCATCCAACAATGGATAGACGTCCAGCTGCTCCTTCACGGTGTGCAGGACCACCCAAAAGTGTCAGCAAACCGCCTGTAGAATCACCGCTAGGTCGATTGGCATGGGCTTGATCAGCAAGCGTGACAATTGTGACATCTTGCCAATGTTCAAGTTCAGGATGATTCCAAAACTTCAAACTAACTGGATTGGAACGAACTTCTCTAATGAGTTCTTGGATCTCCTTGGCCGTGTTCATGTCATGGTTGCTTGTGATCTGCGAAAGAAGCAGATTGGCTCGCGCACAGGCTTGAACTTGTGTTTGAGTTGCAGCCCATTGGACTGCTCCAAGTCCGGCTCGGCAAGCACTCACTTCATCAGGAGTGAGCTGTGGGTTGTCGGTGCGCTTCAAACGCTCCGGGGCAATGGTCAGGTCCATGAGGCCTTCCACATAGTAGTTCTGATCCACCTTGACCAGAAAGTCATTGCCCTCGGTCTTGACGTTGATGTCCAAACCAGTGTGTCGGTACTGGTTGATTTTCACCGTTCCCCACTTGTAGCTCTTGTCAATGGCTTCTCTGATGCGAAGCCACTCAGGATCTTGAAGATCTCCGGCTCTGTTGAAATCGTCAACATGTCCGCCAACAAAACCAATCAGCTGCTCAGTGTCAAACTGATTTCGAGGATTTGGGTTTGGCTTTGTCCAAATCCAAAAGGAACTGTCGCCGATCAGGCGTTTCGCTCCCAAGGCACAAAAGGTTTTGTCCACATCTTCCCATAAACCTCGAGGTGCTGTGGCGTTGCCACAGACGTTCTTGAGGATTCGAACCGCTTCATGAGGTTCAGCTCCAAGGGCACGATTGAGTTCAGGTACCCCTTGCATCCAACTTCTGCGATCCTCCTCCGTCTTGCGAGTCTGCAAAAATGCAGTGGACATATCAAGTCCTTCCAACTGCCAACGGCGTTGAGCCACCACACACAAGGAGAGGTTGCGGACCAACTGCGATTGCACTGGTGCAGTTGTTGCTAGAGGGGTCCAACAAGTCAGGGTGTTGATAGCCCAAAACGACTATCCTCGCTTTTGCTTTGCGAGTGCCATCAGAGCTGTGGACTGTGTTCTCATTCTCCCTGGCATCAGCAAGTGCTTCAGCACGCGATTCCTCAGGCACTGATTTCCAAACCAATACCCATCTTGATTTCAAAACACGTCCACTTCGCTTCGCTTCTTGTTGCTCCTCAAAGCTCAAACAGCGGCAAACTGCCTCTGTCTTAATGAAGCTCGAAACTTCGGAGTTCATTGCTCGCTTGAACAACTCCTTCTCATTGGCACTCAAACGACGAAAACACACCTCTGAACCAGCCAGTTTCTTCGCCAGGTAGAGGCTCGGGTTTCTCTGAAAAGCCTTCTTTTGGCGATTTGAAGCAAGGTCCAGCTCGATGTCCATCAAATAGCCACTGTCGATCTGGTTGAAGATCTGCAGTTGCTTCATGTACATGTCTTCCTTGTCGTCCTCGTCCTCATAGCGGGCACGCTTGGACTCAGGTTCAGGAACTGGATCAGGAAGACCATCTTCAGGAGAGTCCAAATAGGGCTCCTTGTTTTCCACCATCGGTGTTGAAGATGTTGTAGAAAGTCTGCGATCTTCTCGAAGAGGACCATGAGGCATGTTGCCAAAGTCGTCATCTTCCAGGTCGATAGGTTCAGGATCCCTTGCAGGTGTTGTAGGTGCATAAGATGGTGATCGTGCTGCTTGTTCATCACCATAGTCATTCACCATCTCAGGCTGCTCATAGACATCGCTGGGCTTCTTCTTCCCAGAGATTCGCATCGGAGGCATAGGTCCAGTAGGGCCAACCTTGGAAAAGTCAGGCACATAGTAAGGAACACCAGGAAACCGTGAAGAGGATCTTGATGAAGAAGTTCCAACTGTTCGCATATCAGGTGGATGTTCAGGAAGGTCAAACTCCTCGGTCTCACCATCCGCAGGCTGCTCGTGCTCGATGTCGACGTACTCCCTCTTGGGAATGATGTCGGAGAGTTGCTTCCACTTGTTGGGATCGATGGCATTTGTTGCTTCTTCATGGGCTTGTTCTCGATCCGACAAGGGTCGCACAGAGAAGACAGAACATCCATAGAGCGTCTTGCCAATGACCACCCAAACGATTGGAATTGGATCTCCTTCTACTTGTCCAGGAATGAGTTCATGTAGAACCAGTCTGCCAGGTCCAATCCATCTCGGTTTCACAGTGCGCTTGACTCCTCCACGAGGTCCTTTGTGGAACTTCGGAGGCAAAAACTTCCTCCAAACCATCACAGGCTGTGCAAGGTCGAAGTTGCGACGAGGCTGCTTCACAGTGGTGTTCTTGATCCTTGAAAGCACATGATCTGCCCTCGCTTATTTTCTCGCATGCTCTTCAGCAGACTGTCGGTTTGTCAGGAGTCGGGCAAATTGATCTTGTTGACGGTCAATTGGAAGTTGAAGATGCTGACGTAACTCATCATCAGTCAGCTCAGCTTGTCGACCAAATGCCCATTGGATACTGCTGTATCCTTTGTTGTACTCCGTGGAGTTCACAGCTGCTGTTGCAAGTGCAAGGCTGATCTCAGGATCTTGGTCAGGAGAGGAAGCATGAATCCTCGAAGCAGTCTCTTTCACCAGTTGATGACCACGTTCAACAAGTCCATGAGCCCAGGATTCATGATCCGGTGGGTAGATCACTTCGATGCCAAGGTCTGACATGTAATCCACAAACTTCTTCGCTGTGAGGCTCTTGGCATTGTCTGGAACCAAGATTCGAGGTCTGGGCTTGTCAGAAAGCCACCTCAAAGAAACACTGCGGATCATCTCCTCGGCGGACTCATTCTTGATAGTGCCGTGCTTGTTCTTGAAGAGGACGTCGGTCACCTTGTACTTGGTGCATAGATCCATCATGATGACAAACTTCACCTTGATGTTTTCACCAGGAACTTCCCACTCAGAGACATCGATGCCAACTTGTTCCCAAGGTCCAGGAAGATTGCGCATGCTCGCTGGGTTGATTTGCTTGGAGCTAATGCCACCGCCCTTTTGTTCTTGGCAGTAGGGGCAAACATGCTCCAAGGCCATCTTGATCTTCCATCGTGGGAGTTGTGCATCAGCCATCATCCGCGCCATGTTGCGCGCTGTGGGATGTCCAGCTTGTCTGTGAAAGCGATCCAATTTCGCTCTCCATGCTCGTTGATCTTGTTCAGAAGGTTGAACTTCAGCAGGAACCACCGCATCGTCAGGCACGTTCTCATCGTCCCCCATGAAGAGGTCGCCATCAGGAAGTCCAGAACATAGATGAGCTTGATGATCATCACCATCGCAGAGCTCCTTGAAGGGGTCCATCACCACAGGTGTTGAAAGCATCTTGATCCATCTGTCAGGGATCAAAGTGCGACGCCAAAGCTGTGCAATACTTCGGCAAAGTGCCGTTGGGTAGTAAGCACTGCGCGTCGTTTCAAGTCCATGTATTTGAGCATGTTCATGGTTTTGAAGACACACCTTCAAGCGAAACATCGTGTAGAAGACCACATCAGTCGTCAAGATTTGCCAAGACTTCTTGATGATGTTGCCATGAGAGTCTTTCATGCCATAGCGGCATCCATCGATTTGGCACAGGTAAAGATTCCTGCCACACTTCTTGAAGAGTCGAGTCTTGAACTCTTCCACATGAGGCTCTTTCCAAGCTCTGCAGCGTCGCGGCCATTCCCAGTAGAGATCGGCAGTCTCATCTTCCAGCAAAGCTTCTTCTGCAAAGTCCATCACCTTGAGGTGCATCGATTTCTCCTTGCGACGTCGTTCAAAAAGAACTTCACGTCGGTTGTGGTAGTTGAGGTCTGTCCAGTCACAGTAGAAGGTGCAGGGAGTGCTGATCCAAAACTTCTTGGGCTTGTGGCGACGTCGAAGTTGACGTAAGCCATCATAGGTGTTCTTGCGGTAGAGGTCAAAGCCGCCCGCCAGGTTGATGCGGTAGGCGCACAAGCCAGCTTTGAGAGCTTGGTTGGTCAGCTCACTGTCAGGACTGCAGAACATTTCCCAAAGCATTGGAGGTTTCTGGTAGACTACCTGGGCAATCTCGGAGTGAAGTTGGTCACAAAGAGCAGCAGCCATCATCATCACGCTTTTGCCTACACGCAGAGGCATCTTGAAAGTTGCATCTTTCACTGCTGTTGCTCCCCGTACGCAGGCTCCAGCTCCGTGTCCGAGCTGATGTTCACATTGATCACCGGCTGAACTGCCCGTTCTGCCGCAAGCTGCATGAGGCGCTCCTTCTCCTCCGTTGTCAGGTGCTCGAAGGCCATGTTGAGGTCCATCCTGCTGGGAGAGACCTGTTGCCATCCGCTTGACGCAGGAGAAGGGCCAGGCTCTGGTGTCGGTGTTCGAGGTCTTTGGATCGGAGAAGCACACCCTTTTGCCTTTGCGGCTGTCGCGGCCGATTTGGCCTTGTTGATCTTCTCCACGTTCTTCTGCATGGTCTTCTCGAAGTCCATCAGCATGGTCTTGATGCGCTCCTCGGCCACCACCTTCTCGATCATCGCGCGCACCAGCTCTTCCGTAGGCATTGCTTGAGGAGGTAGAAGACCTTGTAGTTCGTCCAAAGCTCGCTTCACGTTGGTGCCATTCATTGTCACCATGGAGTTGGCCGGGCTGCCAACTCGAGGCTTGTACCATAGACGGTACCCGCACTGGAGGCAATTGACCCAGATGCCGTACCTGTTGCTCATCTCCTTGCTTGGGGCATGAGTTCCCTTGCAAGGCCACTGGCTTCGTTGATGCCGTGGGTCTCGAGGATCTCCCTCCATCCGACGAGATTCGTCCGGAGGCTGCATGTCGCTCTTGTCCTTGTCCTTCGGCATGGCTACTTGGAGAGGAAGTTGTCGGGGTTGAAGCGAAAGGCAAACGGTTGCCCATGAGCCGAACACTGCTGTTGGAGGACAACTTCATCCGTCGATTCACCATGTACTCGAAGGCTTGACTGAACTTGCCATCAACGCTTGCATTCTCAGAGACAAAAATGTCAGAAAACTGAACTGGGAAAAACTCAATGGAGTGATCGTTGATGACTTCTGGTTTTTCATCAGGTTCTTCCAACATGACATGTACTGCAGCATGACCTTTGGAGTTTCGGAGACCATCTGTGAGGTATTCGACAACATCCAACATGTAGTGACCCTTTTGGTTTTGAGGAAGGTTGAGAACTACACCATTCATCAAAGGAAGAAAACAATGACCATCGTTGAAGTCCAAAACTGCTCCAGCTTCTTTCAACCAGTCCATACCTACTAAAACAGGAACCAGCATGTCCATGGTAAACCAATCTTCATGACGTTCTTCGGGATCAAGTGCAAAACATGAAAAACTGCGTGTACTCCCCGTAATAGATGAAGAAACGGTCAACTTGTAGAGGGCTTGTCCCCATTTGCCAGAACCAAAACGAAAACGAGGTTGATCCTTTGTCTCCACGCGGATCTGTGCTGCTGCATCGGCTTCCATGATCTTTGTCACCAGCCGCTGAACACTGGTTTCAGGTCCAGCAGAGCATGTAGCTCCGGAGTCGATCATGCCACTGCCAGGTGGGATCTGACGAGGGATCTGTGTCTTCCTCGGAGTGGCCACCTTCTTTGTTGCCAGCATGGCATGTTCCACAGGGCCGTTGTGCTGGGTCTGAAGCTCCATCTCCAAACCATAGTGGTTCAGCGCATAGGCATTCACAGGTGCCTTCCCTTTTCCTTTCCCTTTCCAGGGGTCAAAGGACTTGCCCTTGTAGGACTTTCCCTTCGATTTGCTCTTGCCCTTCTGCATAGCATAGATCCAGTCATGCCATTCATCCTCCATGTAGCGCAGACCTTTCTTGCCCTTGCCCTTGGACTTGGAAACTCCATGAGGAGAAAGTCGGTCAGGACATTCTCGAGCAAGATGTTGTGTGCTGCCGCAAATGAAGCAAGCTGCTCGGCCAAAACCACGATCTTTCTTCATGGCTGCCGTTGCACGTTGTGCTTGGCTCCAACTGCGACCATCAGCTAAGAGTTGCTCCATCTTTTGAGCTTCTGCTGCTGAGGTTTCTGAGGCATTGGGATCACCTTCTTGAGCTGCATTGGCATCAGCTTCATCTTCTCCATCTTCAGGCCACCAGCCGTCATAAGACCATGGGTCTTCGCTCCAAGTCAAAGCCGCATTCCAGGACGACCATCCATCATCGCCCCACTCATCCCAGGAAGAGCTTGAAGACATAGAGGACCAATCATCATCGTAGTGCTCGTCTGCGATGTAGGCTTGAAGATGTTGTCCATGATATAGAGGCTGTTGAGGATGTCCAGGTTGAAGTCGAGTGCCGCCAGTCATCTGTTCGCCATAGAGTACCTGGAGAGCATCGCTAATGGAGACATAGTCCAGCTTTCCCTGCGTAGTGCCCAAAACATCTCGCCACTCGTCAGTGGAGAGGCTTGCAGAGGTCAAGAGACGCCATCCTCGTAGTTGCTCCAAGATGAAGCTGTCGGACACCGACAAAACCAGGTCATCATCTTCGGCAGGAGGTTGGCCAGGATCATCAGTAGGAATCCGGGCATAGCGTCTTCGACGTTCTGAAGTGTCTGGGCTCGCATTCACAGTTGGGGCCTCAGAGTCAGGACCCTCGCTGGCTGACTCCTCATCAACCGTTGGCAATCCAAAACCATCACGTTCAGGATCAACACCATTCTTTTCCTCCTTGAGGCGAATCAAGCACTCGCGGAACTCCTCATAGTGCAAGGCTTCCCGAATGAGGAAGTTGGCAATGGCTTCACCACGGTAGCGCTTGAAGGAGAAGTACTGGGCCATGGTTGAAGCAGCATTGGGCAAGCTCTTTCGAACCAAAGGGCTCTTTGAAAGCTTCGACAGAAGAACTCGCGCCCCATCAGGACCATTGAACTCCTGAAGTTGCCATGTCATAGCCAAAAGCCGTGCAGGACCGCTCAGCTTTGTGATCAACCTGCTAGCCAAGTAAGGCCGAAGGCTGGGCTTTGTGCCAAGCATGTACCATTGCACCTCTTTCACATAGCGGCGCCATCCTTTCGCTTGTCCATCCCAGACAGGGACATGTTCCATTCCACCTTGCTTTTCAGCTGAGGCAGACATCGCTTCCAAAACTGGGCAACAAAGATCTCTTCAGAGAAGTTGCAAAAGAAGAATTGTGGAACCTTGAAGTAGTTCCGGATGAACACAAACTGTCCAACGTTCAAATAGAAATGCAAAAAGTACCCCAGATGTCAAAGTCCAGGATGTAGTGGTCGGCAATGTGAAGCCTCCCAAAGGAAAACTGCAAAACAAGGCTTGGGCTCAGCGGGGCCTCGAACCAGCCCATGTTGATGGCGGGTCCAATTCCACAGGCAACTCACCCAAAGGTCGGCCTTCAGCACCAAGCAACTGTCTCTCTCTTCGTCTGGGCTCTTGTCGGCCGTACAGGTAGCCAATCTCCAAGAAGCAATGACCAACTTGCGGAGCAAGGGTGATTACCGCCTGGAGCTTTTCGTTGAAGCTTCGCCGAGCGTCCAAGTCCTCTCGAACCTCGGGCTCAGGCTCTGTCTGGATCGAACCGATCCCCCAGATGTTGGCCTTGTCCCTGAAGTAGGTGTAGAACCAACTGCAGGTGTCCTTGTAGATCTCGTAGAGCTCGGGTAGGTGTTGCTGATGCTGAAAGTCCTTCGATCAGCCGTAGTGCCCCCTGGATTCCCTCACCTGCTCCGCTACCAATGCGGGAGCAGGGAGGTTCACCAATCCAACCACTAGCCAAAGTCCCCCAAATGGGATCACAAAGGAAAAAGACAATGAAATAGGGTGGACGAAGTGGCCAAACGATATGGCACAAGTCGGATGTCCCTGATCCCCTAGATCAGGCTGCAACGCGGGCTCGAAACTGTTTTGCCGGGGCTCAAGCGCTGCAGTGCAGCTGCATGTGAAAAGTGTCATGACATGACCTACATGAGACAACCCTATGCCACATTCGCAGATTCTCAACTTTGCCCAAGGCCGGTACTTGGGCAGGGTATTACAGCCTGCGATGCAGTTCTTTCAAAAGGTGTCGCTTCAAGGGTGGGCCCCCAGCATGCGTTCTGAGTTGGCCCAAGTATCGGCATTTCTTGCGACTGCCTTGTTGTGTGCACCACCCAGAGTGCTGACGGTACGTGACACTGTTAGACCGGTCCTTCTCTTCACTGATGGAGCTTGTGAACCCACTGAGACTGGATTTGACGTGGGGGCGGGCTTTGTCATCCGTGACCCGGTGACTGGCCTGTTTAAAGTTCATGCGACTCCCATCCCACAGGCTGTCGTGGACACTTGGGCCGCGACGGGTAAGAGTCAAATCATCGCAGCGTGTGAGTTGTACCCAATACTTGTTGCATGGTGTTGTTATGGCCATGTCTTCCATAACCGCCGTGTCCTAGTTTTCATTGATAACTCATCGGTGAAAGCCGCCGCCGCCAAGGGGGCATCCAAGCAAGTAGAACTCTTTGCATTGCTGTCTTTGATTTGCCTGGAACAGACCAGACATCCGACTCTGGTATGGTACACCAGAGTGCCTTCCAAGAGCAACTGTGCCGATGGACCCAGCAGGCAGAAGGCCCAAGCCACAGCCGTGGAGATTGGGGCGCAGCTTGGTGATCCACTTACCTTGACAGGTCCTATCCTTCAATTCCTTGAGGGCACATTGACGTACCCCGTGTTGATGAGGAAATTGGCTGAGGTTTGGAACAAGGGGGAAGGAGCTGTGCCTCCAACACACTGATGTTAACTCATAGACCTGAGCGTCTGGTTGGATTGAGTGTGTTCTTGCAAGCACCTGTGCATGGTGCCTCATGTCCCCATTGGCCACACGGCCCAACAACCTGACAGGCAATATTCAACGCGGGAAAAAGAAATATGATTAAGACCGAGTGATGTGCGTACGGTTGCGTGATTTCTTGGAAAGTTTTTATTAAGTTTGAAGATATTAGTATATTTGAAATATACTATATCTGGAAGGTCACCAGGCTTACAGGCTTATATCCTACACGATCCTTTTGGCGGTGCCATGTATTGTGATTTCCCCCACAAAAGTTTCATGAGACGATAAACTCAACTCGTTTGATATATCAGTCTCACATGAAATCTTTTTGGGCTGTGTTTTGCGGGGAGTGCGCTCCCTAGTGTGTTTGCCTGTTATGCGTTACGCGCGCCTGTACCCTGGACGACCAATATCATAATCACAACGACCTGTCCTATACTGCTACATGTCCCCGCGTCTCATGCGATATGCGTTGGGTCACTGGATCTTATCTCTTACGAGGTCATTCTCTGACCTGAACTTGTTCCTGAAGTTTGCTTTGGGTTACTGGATTTTATGTCCTGCATGTTTTGCCCATTACCGGGTTTTGTATTAGCCACTGTGTGCATGCGATCTTATTGCAGTAACATTTGAATTGTCACTGCATGTATTTATGCACAAAACAACACGACCTGTCTAACCTATTGTATAGGTGCACAACGTTGAAACAAAACCCTACCTTTCACAAGCGGTTTTTCCAAACCTGTGTCTCTGTGAAACCTGCGAACTTGTGAACACTTGATAATACATGTTGCGCGCGGCATTTGCCAAGCCTGGCACCCAAAGTTTTTGAAACACCCGCCCCCCCAACCCTGGGGGGAAGGAGCTGTGCCTCCAACACACTGATGTTAACTCATAGACCTGAGCGTCTGGTTGGATTGAGTGTGTTCTTGCAAGCACCTGTGCATGGTGCCTCATGTCCCCAGTGGCCACACGGCCCAACAACCTGACAGTCAATTATTCAACGCGGGAAAAAGAAATATGATTAAGACCGAGTGATGTGCGTACGGTTGCGTGATTTCTTGGAAAGTTTTTATTAAGTTTGAAGATATTAGTATATTTGAAATATACTATATGGGATTTTACACAACGTGGATAGCACCTTCTTGGGCGTATAACTTGAAAGACTAGTTCATCTAAAAGAACGAGTCGGCCTAAAAAACCATGTTATTAAAATGAGGGATGAAACAAGAAAAATCTTGACCAAAACAAAAATCACCATGTCATCCGTGACTCATGTTCTGTCGTTGATGTTCATGCATGGTAGGGAACCTATTGGAACAATGATTCTCTTGCGGTAACATCTTGGGTTCAAGACCTTCAACGAAGAAGGCAAACAAAGAGCACCAGAGCTCACATGTTCATGCAGACACCCAGGTACATGTTGTCACATGTAGGATGTTGCATGATTGCTTGAACCTTCATAAGTGCATGGAACATCACATTTTTGAGATTTTTCTCCATTTTTCCACCTGCACTGCCCGGGCGTTGGAGCCATGCACCCTGACTGGAATGAAGGCCCAGATGCAGGGTTCTTCGATAGCCTACCACCGCTATCGAAGCGTGTGCCTATCTGGTTTCAAGGTGACAGGGAGAATCAGACCATAGGGGCTATTTCTCCGTGGCTGGGCATCGACACCGTGGAGTGTGAAATTTCCGCCTTCACCTACCTGATCCAGACAGCACACACGGCCAACGCCCTTCCGCCTCTGACTTCCTTGCCTACGTTTTGGGCCCCGTGGGACGAGGATTTGTCGGAACTCACCCAGTTCCACCTCATCGTGTTCAACTGGGATGCCTATAAAGACATCCTCAACACGATCCAGGACGACGCGGTGAACATGATAGATGATGGGAACATCGCTGCGGAGCACCGCCATCAGAGCTTTGTCACCATCCACTTCCTTGAGATTTCTGACCTCTTGGACACCATTGGAGGCATGCACAGAAGCCTCCTGGCCCTCCGTGCCGACCACGAGGAGCTCCTTCAGAGATTTGAGACATATAGGGACTATACTGGCCGCATCATGGAGTACATCGCCAGTAGGGACCCTACAATGGCTGGCCCATTCAACTTGCTTCTCAGACCGGAAGACTTGGCGCCAGAGAGAACTTGACGTCCTCACGGCGAAGGTACAGCTCCAAAGATCGGCCATTTCAGGTCACTCCTTGCTGTTTTTGGCTTTGGCTGCAGCAAAGACTATGTTTGACAATTTTTATCCGATGCAAAGCATCTCCATTTCGCTGGTCGCCAGTCAGCCGAGACAGGCATAAATCCAAACGACAGAAAGATGAAAACCGATTCATCGTTCGTCTTCGTCAGTTGCAACAATTTTTCACCACTCATTTTCTGCAAGATTCCTTTGACATTTGATTCAGCAGACATTCACGTCCAGCGTCATCTTAACAAATCACATGGCCGTTTGTCACAAGACCTTTCCATCATCTTTGGGGCTCCAGTTTTGTTGGTCCATGTATGGACGGGCGCGCTGGCGTTCCAATCCCAGGGGGAAAGCAGGAACCTCAGCTAACTTTCAACAAACAGATGTTGAAGAAAACAGTCAGCAGAGACTGGAAAGATTCGCAATGCTATTTTAGGCAACTGGAAACTCTTCACATGAAAGCCTTTGGTACCCCCCCAATCTCCTCCTTGTGTGTTGGGAAGTCTTGACCATCCGATCAACTTGAGGCGTCAAGCTCGGCTGCCAAATCCTCAGTTTATCGACAGTATAGATTCTGGATAACCGTTCGACACAAGTAGATTGGATTCTTTTTGGGGGGGAAAGACTTCAGCAACTGAGCTGTCATAATTTTGCATCAGAGCTAAGCCGTTGACAAAAGGCTGGAGTCGAGGAGGCCCTCATCTCAATGACCTGATTTCTGTTCTTCATGCAAACTTCGGGTAACGGCATCTGAGTCGTTTTGGAATGTTTGGATAGTGACTGTCCGACCAGGTTGAACCAGAGGGGCACTGCGATGACGTGACTTCCGGGATACATCAGAATCCTCCTTTTCAGGCAGGGGCCTCGGGAAGCGATCATCAGAGATCACCCCTTGTGAATCCAGACAAGAGATCAACAGAGATCGAATGATAGAAAACCCGAAAGAGTGATCAGGTCATTAGTCATTAGACTTGGCAGGAATCGACCTCCGGGACACATCAGGATCTCCATTCGCAGGTGGGGGCCTTGGGAGCCGATCATCAAAGGTCGCCCCTCTTCTTTGAATCAAATCAAGAGATCAACAGAGATCGAATGGTAAGGGACTTGAAAGAGTGATCCGTCCCCCGTTCATCAAACTTGACAGGAGGCTTCTTTCGGTGGCCTTGGGCATCACGAGCCAGACAGAAGCGTGTAGGGCTCAAAACTTTCTCTCCTCATTGTTTGATTGATGAAGAATTTCAGACCAAATTTTGCCATGAAGCGAGTTTGACTAAGCCAAATTAGATTGATGTTTGGAATTCCGGTGGATGTGCAGGCCCTTGGAGACAGTGAGGCACCAACCAATTGTGCCAAACATCCGGCCATCCACTCCGGCGTTGCATCCGGTTCAGCGGTCTCATCCAAGCCCAGGCTGCCCTGGCCTTCCACTTGTACAGATCATGCATCCGAGCATCCGTCAGACGTAGATGACTATGGGGTAGGCTTAGATGATTCCGAACTTTTTGGGGTAGATGGGGTAGGTATTCAATATGATTCTCCGGACCCATTCCTGAACCCAGAAGCCTTTGAACCGCCAGAGCCTCATCCTGAAATCGCTCAGAGTGGTTACATCCCATCCGACCACATGTCATGGAAACGGTTTGCTGAGATTGAACTCATGCAGATGCAAGTAAAAAGGTTGAGATCAGCCGGATCAGAGGGGTCTCTTACTCATGCATTCTTGGTCGATACACCGGGTACTATGTTGAGCTCGATGTTCTCCATTCCTGATCCTCTCCTTACCACCCTGATTGAGCCGATGGAAAAATCAGAGCCCGAGTTTGAGGTTGAAACCAGAGAGAGGATCACTCAAGCTCGAAAGGTGAGGGTCAGCAAAAGTGATGACGATCTTCGAGATGCGAGTATCACCAAGTTGCAGAAAATTATCTTAATAGATCCTGCTG